TAGCGATTGTACCAAACGATAGCTGAATGTTTACTGAATGTTTACTGAATAGTTGCTGAATGTTATGCTGAATGTTTGCTGATTTAGTGTCATTTTTGCAAATTTCAACCAATGTAGTATAGAACTAATTGGGTGGTCTAATTGCCTGTGCGGCAGACTACTTAAATTAGACAATGACTAAAGTTATATGTGTAGCTTGTTGTACACTCTTCATGTAATTACAAACAGTAGAGACTATCAATATATATCCCGTATGCAATTCTAATAAAATTCCTTCGGCAATGTAAGCTGCCTTAATAACAAAAAAAAAAAAAAAATTTTTTTATAAATTTATATATGAAATTGAAATACATCAAATCATTTGATCTATAATTAAAACACTTAAGAAAAAATGTTCCTTGTCTGCTAAGAATAAAAATTAATATACAGATTTGGTAGATTCAGATTTATATTCAAATTTAATCCGAATCTGAAGGAAATTGGATTTAAATCCGAAGATCAAATCCGGTTTCAAACTCTAACGCTAAACCTGAATTAATTATCTAAACAAACAACTGTTTCTAATTACGGCAAACAAATCCCAGAATTGGCATTAGTAATAGCACTCTATTGAGTTTCTACTTCGATAACTACGTATAGTGATTATGTAATAACTGACATTTTATTTTCTGACGGATTCCACTCCAATTTATGCTTTGTTGTCTATCGCTATCGCTATTGTCCAAATAAATAATTTGTGCATAGCATATAAGGTGATTGTAGTCGATCTCAAAAAATCGAGTCTTTATAATTCAACAAAGCCGACTAGCTGATTAATAATATTATGTCTTAGGTTACTGAAGCAGCAGACCTAAAAAAATATACGATGCCATTCTTCTTCCTCCCTCCTCCACTTTTTCAGAAGATCATAATAGTTATGCGATCCGAATACCCGAATCCTATCCGACCCATATATAAACTCCAATGTTGAATCTGCTATGGTATCTGCTGACGAATATCTGACAAATTACATGACTGAAGGCTATATTATGATATAAAACCCATTTTGTATAATTAAAGATGTTATTAAGCTATCGCAGACTCTACTTCGGGCTTACAAGTTTATTTCTTATAGGATTCTATTACTATCGTCATTGACTAAGTGATGATCGAATACAAACACTACCTTTCAAGAACACTTACTATTAAAATTTCATAATTTAAAAACTAGATAACAGATTAATACTTGCGTCTGATTAAAATTGGCCTAAATTATAGTTAGGGTTAGGACTAAGTTTTAGCATGGCCGATTATTATAGATCATTTTAATGCTGGCCTAATGGCTTTAATCTGACGCAAGTATTAATCTGAGGCACAACATAGATATTAATAAAAGTCTACCTTGTGACTCGAACAATAATTTATATCTAAGTCACATGTATTGCAAGCAATTATACAAAAAACTTACTAAAAAATTTAAAAGATTAATTGGAGTTGTCTCTTTTAGTATTCAATCGCTTTCGAGCAAAATGACTATTTATTTACGTCAAAAATATGTTAGCTAATGATTTATTGTAAACCTTTAAGATAGATACATACCTGTTATTTGTTTTGCACATTTTATCTTCTCTTTTATATGGAAAATTGATCATGCAATCCATAACATATAAGGTTGATTTTATATTATTTCTGATTGAAAAATACTCTTATATGATTTGACAAATTAGTTAATTGCTATGAATAAATTGCCAACATTTTGGATAAGGCCTCTCGAGCCATGTCGTCGTCATCATCATCTAATGTGAATAAGATCGACGATTAATAGATATAGAAAAATATTAGTCATTACAGCATTAAGAACAAAAAACCAACCAATCTCGTGGTCACCATCACTATCATAAACAGGTGATTGTTGTGTCGGCTCTCCCCATGATTCTTCTGCTACTGATGATGGCGACGGTGCAGTCTGTTCAATATCTTCTGCCTCACAATCAGACATATTTTCTAATATAGATAATGCATTAGCAATATCTAAATCTATTGATTTAGGGTTTATATGTCTCTCTTGTGGATTAAATAAATCAGATGACCCAATGTCGGGTAGCTCTGAGGAAAAGAAATCAAATGATTCTGGTTCATGAAATACTGGAGTTAACGTTTCACGGGAAGTTATATCACTGCTTTCACCGAGCATTGCAAGTAAAACAGTTTCTTCAGTTTTT